GGTGAGGCAAATAAAACATAGAGCTGACTTATCTCCCAAATTCTGCAAGAATCTCTCCTAGCACAATATTTTCCCTAATTAAACTAACTTAGGGATTAATTTACAGGTCAAAGTAAATGGACTTGCTTAATGTATGAACATAGTTGGAAAGCAGAGTGTCTCAGAGTGATGCACAGAGAGCAGTCATTGTGGCTCATGGGCTGGTGGGGGTGGAACTGTTAGTTCTCTGAGACAAAATGTGCCACAAAACTATTAGTTGTGTCTGCATTAGGTAAACAGAGTTGACTGTAACAGGAACTTGACAGATGCATCTTTTTCAGGAAAAAGAAATGTTACTGTGTTAATTAAATAGCAGAGTATTAATTTGCTGCTGAGATGATACGTGCCAGTTTTAGTATCAGTGCTGCTGGATTACCAGCAAGCCTTTGCAGGTTTGGGGTGGCACACGTCACAAAAAGACGAGTAGAAGTAACAGAGAGCTCTGCTGGCAGGGCCTTGCTCTTGGGAACAGCCTAAAGGCAAGAGAATATATTTCTGCATTTCTATAAGCTCAGTTTTGCAGACAGGGTAAACCACGGGGTTTATGTTTAAATCCAAGGTCTTGTTCCTCTGCTTGTATCTTTACTTGAGTGCAAAGATTTGAGCTTTTCTAAAATATTTACCATTTGAAAGTGTGTTGAAAATGTGTATACAGCAAAATCACCATTGCCCATGACTTAATCCCTGCCTTCTGTAAGTTGCTTTGCTTCTCCAAGAGAAATGTTGCGCTTTTCTTTTTATCCTTTTTGTGTTGGATACTCTTCTGTATCTCTGAGCATAATTACCTGTTGCTCTTAATTTTTGCTTGGGTTTTGTTCACCCTGGTTTGGCTTGTCACCACAGGCTTTCCAGTCATTCCCATGAAAAAGCTGTATGTATTGTCCTCTCTGTGAGATGTCAAAAGGTAGGAAATGACAGAGCAGACAGGGAAGTGAAAAGGTGAGGCAGAAGCTGTTTGGATGATCAGCTGGGCATTCCCAGTTGTAACCACTGTATCGGGGCTAGTTCAGTGGTCTGGGTGGTGACAGTGAATGGTCACAGCCCCCTGAGGCACAGCAGCAAACTGCCCAAATCTCAGGAAGAACCTGTGCTCCTGAGAGAAGTGTCGTGGGAAGGTCTGGTTTGACTTCTGTGGGTCTTGGCTATGAGCACATTGTGCTGTGTTAGCACCTCTGGAACGAGATCTCTGGAAGTGCACTGAAGAAATTATGCTGAAAGGCAGCCAGTGGGGATGTTCATTAATGGCAGGATTCTTTTCCAAGGAAGGCTAAAGAGCTGTGAGAGCTCTGTTAAAACCAGTGCATCCATCTGTTCAGCTGGCTGATGCAGGAACGTGCACCTGTGCACAGGGAAGAGCAGCACTTGGCTGCTGCAGGGTGCTAGCCTGCCTCAAGACATCCCATCTGGGAATACACTGAGAGCTGGGGGAGCATTACAGATTGCCGAGTGTGAAATCGCCGCGTTCCCAAGACCCTGAGTGATCTGAATGTGCGCAGCAGGGGGGCTTTGCAAGGTGTGTGGTGTTGATGGATGAGACCAGTGCTGACAACAAACTTGGACTCTTAAGAAAGGAAGCTTGAGAATTCATGTTATTGTCACAGAAACAATTTTGCAACTGTGGAGAGAGCAATTTGTCTTCTCCCACAGAATAGGCTATTTCAGAATTCAGTCCTGATATCCCCTGAAGTTAAACAAGGGGACCAGGAGAACAAGCTTTTTTCTGATGCCTCCAAGAATGTATGTCCTGGTATTGATTCAGACACACTTTCTTAGTGCTTCTGCTTTTCTCTAGATTGTGAGTGGTTTAGATTATACCTGAGGTTTTTGGCTTTAATGGTTTTGGGGTGTTTCTTGGTCACAGAATAATTTAGGTTGGAAAAGATGTTTAAGGTCTTTAAGTCCAATTGCAAACCTACACTGCCAACTCCACCACTAAACCATGTCCCCAGGTGCCACATGTACAGGTCTTTTGAGTAGCTCCAGGGATGATGACTTAACCACTTCCCTGGACAGCCTTTTCCAATCTTACAACCCCCTTGGTAATGAATTTTTCCTAACTTCCAATCTAAACCTCCCCTGGCACAATACTATTTATTTGAGCATCCCACCATTTGGGAGTGATTTGAAATAAAGCAGAAAAATGCTTAACCAGGTACAGCAGAATACCCCAAATGAATGAATGCTTAGAGTCTCCCCCTTGTCATGCCTCTGCTAGGTGTGCATTTGTGGCTGTTACTTGAGCAGCGAGGGCACTGGAACAGTGAATATGCTATATTCATTTGTGTACACAAACACCAGTGGAAAAACAGCAGTTAAGCTCTACTGTCTCTTCCTGTCCATAAAAAAGCCTCCCTCCTTCCCTGTAAACACAGATTTTATGGAGCAGTAGTGTGGGCTCAGCAGCCTGCGTCCCAAACTGTTAGAGGTAAGAGTCAAAGCAGCACTAGGAATAAATGTGATGTCTTGGCTTCCTGTTTTGAAGTCCCTGGTGATGCACTTTGTTTGAGCGTTATGCCTGCTTTGCTGCTAGCTGGTAAAAATGACAAGGAAAGACAAGTTTCTGCAAGACAGACTTAGAGTGCATTAAATAAATATAAATTTTATTAAAAACACCCACATCTCAGCGTTATCAGGAATGATATAATAATAAACAGCTTTCAAATAACCTGCATTACATTACAATACTTACAGTATTTATAACCATCCTTGGATTCTTTTTATAGACATACCAAACATCTCATGAAAATGAATGAAACTAAAGTAAAAAAAAAGTAGAACATAAGCATAGAAAATGCACACAGAAGTTCATTACCTTAGTGTCAAACTGCTAAAGTTTCCTACACAAGTTAACCGCTAGCTTTAGAAGTGAACTTTATACTGCTGTGCGTCAATCAAGATGAAAAATTCATTCAAGTAAAGTTGACAACTCTCAGAAGCATCTTCAAGTATGGCTATAATTGACCTGATAATCCTATACAAGCAACTCTGTCTGCTTTGTCATTCGTTCCAACTGAGGCAGGGTTCTGTACACCAAAAATTATAGCTCAGGTATTTACAATACAAAACTGATTCGCCAATTAAACTTCCTGCTCCTGCTGCCAGCAGTTTGGCAAATGACGGTGCACGGCATATTAACCAAACATCTACTATGGATTACATGAATTAGATAGGATTTTTAAAAGAAAAATCACCAAAAGATGAAGGTATATAATGATTTACTTAATCTGACATATAACCATCATTTTTTTACCAAAAAGGCGAAACTTTTGTTTCAATGAGTGGATAAAGTCACAGACTGAGAAAAACCAAAATTGCCGTAATAAATATTTGACCGTTAAACCCAAAGGCCTCCTTTGATTTATTTGAGTTAGGTTGTGATTCTGTTGGATAAAATTTCTTTTGACCAAACTTAATCTTACAGTATATTGCACAAGATATAGCTGGGACATGGAGGTTTGCATGTTTAGGGAAGCCCTTGTACTGACTGTACCTTTTTATATTTTATTTTATTCATTACAGTATCCAAGAAACCTTGTTTAGAGAGTGACTTGAACAACTCTAGCAAACAGTCACTTGCCAAACCCCTGCCTTAATTTTTCCCTTTAATCAACTCAGTGCATTCTACTTTCTTTTTGTTTAATCATTTGAAACAGTCAAAACATTCTAAATCTCTTAAACACTTCTGTTACAATAAAAAGAGCTAACAAATTTACAAAATTAGTTTTAGTTACACAATACATGTACAAGAAAAATAAGAGAAGGGATTCAAAAGAAAAACATTAAATCCCTAAAAAAAAAAAAACCAACAAAACAAAAACAAAAAACCCAAGAATAATATATTTAACCTACAACAGCTTTACATACACACAGGTGACACGTTGGCATAGGAGAACATGAGCTGAAATATCCCTGAATTTTTAGAACCAAAAAAAAAAAAAAAAANAAAAAAAAAAAAAAAAAGTTGAAGTTCAAGTTATACTTGCTAAAATGTCAAGTATTGAGAGTTTTTTGTTTACTTTTTTTTTTGTTTTTTTCAAAGGCTATTGGGGGAAAAAGATGGTATATAATATATAAACTTTCACACTCAGTTCAATATCCTATTGCCAAACTAGTGTTGAGGTATATGACAAGTAGGAACATCACTCAAACCTTTTAATGTATTTTTAGCTCACATTATGATATATTTGTAGCAGGCTGAGTAGCACCATGATGTGAATTCAGCTCAAAACCCAAATATATATAGATTTAATATTTTTACAGTACTAAAATACTAAAGCATTGCATTAAAAAAAGTTTTGTTTACAATTTAATTTACTATACAACTCTCCTGCTTTTTAAATTTTTTTAATAGAAATTAATGATTTAAAACCACCACAGCAAGCCAGCTGCCTATTTTTTTTTTTCTGTTAATCAAAGGAATCGCACAGAACTAACCCTGTTTCATTCATCTTGTGTAGGCATCGGTCTGCTCAGTCTTTCTGGAAAAGAGGCCACTTGCACCAAGAAATGACTTGCACCACAATGTACATAATTATCAACACAAAAGCAGTTCTGCCATTCCATAGTGGGAGCGCACAGATCTCTAGAAACAGCAGAAGCCCAAGCTAACTAGGTGTAGTCTGTTGCATGCTGCTAATTATTACCTGTGGTTAATATAAAATTCTTTCCTTAAAACTGTACATATTTGAGCAATGAACTTGTCATAATAATTGTAGAAAACAGTTTACAGTATAGCTGTGTGAGATGAGCACCAGAAAAAAATGTGTTTTGTGTACTAAAATATTCCCTTATATCCAGTAAGCCCCATTTTTACCATAACTGACTGTATTAAAAATGGATATGTAGCCCACTAGCTGATGCATGGCTAAACCAAAAGTACTTAAAAGCTTTTTTAGTTTAAAAAAATTATATTTGCATTTTAAAATCAAAGTAAACTCTTTTTCTTTTTTTTTTTTTTTAATGTCTTAGTACCTTAGCATTGTTCAAGTTGCCAAGCTTAGGTAGACAAAGTGCTTTTGAAACACTATTTAAAAAAAATATCTCTCTATTTTATTGTCCTTTTCTAGGACTTGACTGGATGAGCAAAATCCAGAGGTCTTTGTAATTCCCATATGTTAAAAAGTAAGCTTATTTTAACACCAGGTAACTTCAATACATACATGAATGAAAAGGTCCTCCCTGTTGCTGAAGAACATTTGACTACATCATTGACATTTTGTTATAAAGGCATTAACTGTTTCACTGATAAAATAAAGACACCATTCTTTTGGATAGCACCATGATTTTAGAATAATCAAACAAATTCAGTGTTTTGCTATTTGTCTTATCTACTTAGTTAAATAAAATCAAAAACCTATTAAGATTACAGTAAAAACTGCATGTTAAAAAGCCATAATTCCAGTATTTCAGTACATCATAGATTCAGCACCAGATGTTATTTTAAGATTCCTGCAGCTGTAATACTACAGTATTATTTTTTAGGGTTGTTTTTGCTCCTGTTCCATGACTATGCAAACTTGATGACATTAAAAGTGGCCACAGATGTGAAAAGCTGTAAGGAAAAAAAAATCCATTTGCAGATTATCTCTTTCAGTAATACAGCCAGTGTTTTCCAATATAAATTGTGAAACACTTTTTTGTTGTGTTCTCTCCTTCTTTCCTTTTATATCCTTCTTCTATTTTTTTAATTTTTTTTTTTTTGCATAGGATGCTTTGGTCTGTTTCCTACATGCCATCTGTGACCACTTAGAAATCAGTGGAAAACAAGTGCTCTTGTGAGATTTACCTCTTTTTGCTGGTGTGCCGAGGCTTTTTCCACCGATGAGCTCCGTAAAAAGTTTTCTTCTCCACCCTTGCCTTCCACAAAACCTAAAGCACCACTGCCCTAGTGACAAGGTGTTTTTTCAAATGAGGTAACCAACCAAGGTGTGAAGTCAGATATATCGGTTGTAAGGCCCTGTAACCCGTGTAAAGGCATATGGAGATGTGGTGACGGTGGAGTCCGTGGTGACTGACAGTGTCCTTTGTGCCAGGGACTTGATGAAGCGCAGGTACGTTGGCTCAGAGGGCTCGTGGGGCTCCACAGGCTCCCGCTTGGCTTTTTTGCCGTAGGATTTCTGAGGCACGTAGTCTGGGCCGTACTTCTCGCATTCCTCTTCTTTCTCTCTTGCCTTCTCAGCCATCTTTGCCTCCCACAGAGCCAGACCATGTTTTGGCTCATTCATGCTCTTGTGCTGGTAAAATACAAGGGATATTCTGGTGGGATGGTTCCTGTTGGGATTTTTTAAGGGAGTCGTTGCGTGGAGCTCGCGTTTTGCACACTCTATGAGAATTGACCCATGAGATGGAGCAACTGCCACTCCTCCAATTTCTGGATCCAGAAAGTTCTGCTCACTATCTGACCAGACTTCATCGGGATCCTCTGCTTTTTCTGGATTCAGCACGTCAGTTTTATCTAAACCACCCTGGGGAGTAGTCCTGTCATGGTTTTGACCTGGAAGCATGTTAGACAAACCATTAACTGCATGTGAAATAATTTCATTATCTTTATTTTGGAGATGCAGTGAATTAGGAGAACCACTAAATATACTCGGAGCAGAATGGTAGTCATGTGATAAATGTGGAGGGGGTTGCGTGTGATGATGTTCACCTGTTTTACTCATGGAGGCATAATCCATGCCGGGATTACTCAGATTAGATTTTAACCTTGAGGCAACCTCCATAAAATGGCCATTGGCCTCATGGGTTGAGTAAGAGGAAAATGACCCTACGTGGTGTAAATTTGGTCTAATGGTGCAATTACTGAAGGAGTCTACCTGCATATTTTGGTTTCCGTAATTCAAGTACTTAGGACCAAAACTCTGGTTATTCCCAAACCTGTGCTGGTATAATGTTTGAATGGGTGGTAGGCTTAGTTTAGACATATGGTCTTGGTTCTGGCAACTATACAAGTCCATGTGCTGATGCTGGGAAGAGTAGGAGCCCAAGTAAGAAGGGCAGTTGTCCATAGCTATGTTTCCATTGCATTGGTAGGGGGGATATTGGTTATTTTGACTTAAAGATCCAGAATAAGGGTTCATGGGACTGGAAGAATTCAAATAAGACCCCGCAGACTGTGATGAGGTTGGATAGAGGTTCACGGGATTGGACCCTCCATATGGATCTGAAGTGTATGAAGAGTTTGGATAAGCACTGGCTGGATTAGGCAACCTTCCATAGAGATTTGCAGAACCTGAACCCGAGTAAGAGTTAATGGGACTTGATTGAGGGTTGTTAGGGAGAGAACGCTGTGGATGTTGTTGCTGCTGCTGCTGTTGTTGTGTGGCTGGTCCTGAAAGACGTAAAAGATCTGTAGACGTAAAAAGGAAAAAAAAAAAAAAACAACCACACAACAAACAGGCTTTTAAAAAAAAGGCCCCAAACCAACCAACCACCCAACAAACTACATACTTTATATGAAATTTCTAAGAAAAATAGACTCATTAACAGACACTCCCTTTCTCATATCTCAAACATCATCCTTTAAGAAGCTGAATGAATACTAAGGCTACTCTTCCTTTTTGGCATGTGTCCAACAAGATCAGGTGCTAGTGGTAGTGGGGAAAAGAGGACAGTGCAGTCTGTTCAGTCACATGCACAAAATCCAAAGAGTTGAATAATCTTTTAAGTAGCCCATGAAGTGAAGTGTCAAAGTGCTCCCAAAACAGCCATGCACAAAGTGACTTTCTTCTCCCAAGAATAAATAATTCTTCTAATCTACATGAATAGAACTGACTCCAAGAAATGTTCCTAGCAGTATGTTAAAACCAATGTTCACTGATAGACAGAACAGTGCAGTAATAAGTGAGATTAACTGAAGACATAAGAGCAGAAATAACATTCATTAAAGTGCAATGGCATAATTTAATGTTCATAACCCTTGCCTGGGTCATGGGACAGCTGACTTCTATTCTTAGGTATTTCAGTGACCTTCTGGGTGGCCCTGGATGTATCACTTTTTTCCTCTCTGGGAATACTGCTGCAACAGTAAAATAGTTCTGATAACTCCTTTGCTCAGGACTCTCAAATCTGCCATAAACTCTTAATCCACTATGGAAAACCTGCTTTGCTTTTGGTCTTGAGACAGAGAATATAAGTAGTGGTAAAGAGGTTATACTTGTATCTCCTGAAATTAGGAGGTGCTCTGTAACAGTGGCAGACATTGAGTGATGCGTAGGTCATTCTTTGGCAGCAGAACCACACACTTCTCTTCATGGGTTCTAGCACTACTTGTCCTTTAAAGATACTTTACGATACGCTGGATGACAAGCAGAGTTTGTTTCTAGATTTCTACAAGTGTTAACTATCCAACAGTAAAGGATTTCTCATTGCAACTTTTTTTTTATTTTTTTCTTCTCTGGAGTTGTACCAAATTTGGCACTCTAGTATTTATATAATATTGATATTCGCTTTCAAGAAATCTCTTGCCTTTTTACTTCAATACATTCTTGGGCTGAAAATAATGGTTTTCTTGAGGCTGAGTATAACTGGCCCTGATTTGTGGGATGCTTACCACTGCTGACCCCGCTCAGATTCCTGTGTTTACCTGCCAGCTGCTTTGCATGACCTGCTGCTTCAGAGGTGCCTTGCTTGTTGCGTGCTGCAGCAGACTTCTCTCTCTCAGCTTTGCTAGACCCATTCTCCAAGGAGGAAAGCTTTTCTGCAGCTGCTTTCTTTGCTTCTAGCTTCCTCTGCCGACAGGTCTTAACGGGCTCTGCTAACATCCGTACTTTTCGTCGAAAGGAGGTAAGGACCTGGATGCTGCCATTCCTCTTCTTCTCCTCCTGGCCCTCAGTGCTTCCAAACTCATCCACATCAGAGACTTTGTATAATGGGAGCACGTGGAGCTGCTCATCTTCTGGTGTTTGGCCAATTTCGCGATTGTCTTCTCTAGTCAGCGTGCAAACCTGTTAGAAAAGTGTATTAGAGATCTGAGACTCTACATCTGCATTGTGTCTTGCCCTGACACTGTCAGCAGTGACATCTGGCAATCTCTTTGTAAACTGTAAGTCTCTTTGCAATTTTTACATATCACAACAAGCCTACAAATGTAATTTCTTCATTACTTTGTTGGACAGAGTTAGAAGAAACAGAAGGCATATAGATATCTATTTCTTGTGCTGAAATGAACAGTATAGTTAGGGATTACCCTCATGTGAAAAAACTCTGTGATCCATTGTACTGTGGCCAGAGAGCTAAAGCAGTGGAATCTGGGACTTTGTACTCACCTGAAGATTCTTTCACTACAATACATACCTATTAGAGAGAGTGTGCAATATAACACACTGGTGTTGTACTTCACACCACCTTTACAGTGTAACTGTAATGTTAATAACAAGATTTAGGGAAGTTGTAATGCAGCAAGCCTGTTGTATTAGTTCTAGCTAGAACAGGTATTGGGAGGATCTTTGTGGGAAAAGGTGCTGAAAGGGACATATACTGCAGCAAAATCATTGTCCCAGCTTTGGGAAGAAAGCTCCACTGGAAATGTACATTGTGTTGGTGGTGATTAACTTGTGAATTAAGTCAGACCCTGGAAACAGGAAAAATTCAATTTGAATTAAAAAGACAGATACTCTCTTCGGTCATAATTAAGAGCTGCACTGTGAATCTAGGGAGTTGCTTTTAACTACAGCCTTAGGAGTATTCTTCCCTATGTTTGGCCCAACTGTTTTGTCACAGAAATAATCCAATACCCATTCAAAACCAGCTTGTTTTTCTAGTATCTTCTACAGAATTTCTGCTGTACCTGCCAGAAATCAGAACTGAGGAAAGTCAAGGGTACATGGACTTGCAGACCTTCTGCTCATCCAAAGAAGGAATAAAATCCGAATAAAATTCTCTTAGAGAGAAGTTATTTGTTTCTACTTTTATTTTGTTAGAAGATATAGTCCAAAGTTGTTAGAAGAAGAAGGGTTTCAAGAGGATAAAAATGAGCCATTTTGTGCCAGGAACACTGAAGCAGGCATTTCAGTACTGCTGGGACCTTCTTTCCATGGTGTCCACAGTCTCTCTTTTACTAAGTCTGTGTTAAACCTTTCTTTAATACACCATAATCTCATTCATTTGGAAGAAGAATGTGTAGGGGGTAGTAAGTTAGCTCAGTTACTGCCTAATGGGTTTTTTTTTACTGATTTGCATTATGCAGTATAAATGTAAACAGAAAGGAGATAATGAATCAAAGCCTGGAGCTGAGTGCTGAAGTGAGGAGGCTGTTACACACCCCAGACTTACCAGAGTACTCCCATTTTGCATATTGTGCAAGTCTCTGTGAGCATGAGCACAGAAGTCGAGGCAGGCAGTGACCCCTGAGAATGGGCGACCTTCCTTCAAACCCAGGCGACACTCAGGTGCTCTGTGCTCGTACTCGATCTGGAGAGACAGGACAGGTTTCACTGGGTGCTCCAGGACACTGAGTGCACAAGGAATGCTCTGCTGTGACAAAGGGCAGGCCTTCCTCATCTCTTGGAGGTGACAACAAACACATCTTGAAAGCAAATAAACTACAGCAATTCGATGGCCGTTTTGTATCCATGCTTCATTCCTAGTTGCTTTGTTCCCTGGTACCTTCAGTCTCTGGCGTGACCGTGAAATTAGTCACTAATACTTTTCTTTGTGTATTACTCCTGGTTTTCTGCCAGGGGTTGGTGTTTTTACATGACAAATGCAGTGCATGGTTTCCGTGACTGGCACTCTGAGAGCGATATGTTTGTGTAGACTGGAAGTATACCAAGCTATTAAGGGAAAGTGGCTTTAGAAAACTGACTTCAGAATGATTTAATGAAAAATAATAATTTACTTTTTGATTTGTAATATTTTGGCATGTTAAACATGTATTTCATTATGTTAAGTACAAATCTAACCCCTGACTACAACAAGAGAGAATTCAGTCAAGACAGTAATTTGTACCCATGCAGTCATTATTAAGGAGCTTTACAAAGAACTCATAATGCAACAACACACCTTATACAAAAAGAAAGGATTCTGTAATGGAAGATAAAGCCTTAAGAAAATTATTATTTCAATTTTATTTCGAAAATTAAAAATGAAACCACATTTATAAAATGCCTTGCTGAAATTCCTGAACCTTTCCAAGTGAATGCACAGAAAATCCACACTTAATGGAACTTAATGGATCTCTTTTTAAGTTAAGGTCAAATTAAATGCTTTGCCAAGTCTACATTCAAAATCACTAAAAATATGTCTAGTCTGCTCACAGACATTTATTTTTCAAATCTGGATTATTTACTTCCCTGGAATCTGAAAACAAAAGGAGAAAAAACCTTGAAAACTGTGTAAACTTCTTTGGAATTAAATGTGAGTGGTCTGAAATGTTAGCCAGACTATAATTGTCTGATCAAACTATACAGGTTTAGCTGTTCTCTGAAATGTTCTGTTTGGTCCAGTTGGGAAACAGTCCCTTTCCAGTTCTTGGTTGTAATCGAAGAAATGGTCCAGATCTGAATTAGAATAAATCTGGGAATTTGAAATTTGATTTTAGTGCTTTTTTGGTTTTCAAACCTTTTACAATATCATACAAATTAGAACTCAATCATCCCCCTTTAAAGCCACTGACAGTAGCTCAAATACAGTTTCTCCACAAATACAAGGTCTACATGAAACTCCTAAAATAAGCCAAGCTATATGCATGCTTTATTACAGAAGGTAAAAATTGAAACTTGTAAAATCATGTATTTTCAACAAATGTTTGGTAGCACCACAGTTTACTTGGAGAAAAGTTCTTAAGTGAATTTTTGTGGGAAAAGAAAAGCAGCCCAAACAAAGAAACAATTTGTTGTTCACCACCTCATTTTTATTTTCTTTCTCTTCCTATTTTCTCTTGTGAATGTCTCTCAGATATTTGAACAGATAACTACAGCTAGTGGGCACATGGCCACAGTTTTCTCCATAATGAGTCTCCAAACATTATCTGATCAGGTAAGTGGAACTGGGTACATCTGCACTGAGTCTGCTTACCCTGTCTAGCTGCTACTAAATACACAGTAAAGGAGTGAATTTTGCAGCAGATAATGATGGTTGGTTTTGTATTAATTTACTGTTTCTGTTAAAGCTGAAAATTATGAAACTGTGATGTCACAGTTTGCAGTAGATGCTGAAAGTTTGGGGACTGCAAGTTCTGTGAATGTTCCTAATAGAAGTAAACCTGAGCAATGAAAGTAAGGTCAACAGTTACATGTTTGCAAGTGGAGTGCTGTCAAATTTTGGTGTAACTATCTGAAAGACATTTTGTAATGAGATGTAGACAAGACACAGCCACACTCAGAACCTCATCAGAGCTCTGAACATGTCTGAGAACGGATCCCCTCATGCAAGAAGGCTGGTGCAGGCAGTTGTGTGCATACACAGGGCTAAGTGTGTTCAAATATAGAACTTCACTTTAAGAGCACGTTCATAAAGGCAGTTTTGGTGAAAACTAAATTCATCTGCTGCTTGAGAGAGCAGAACTGAAACTGTGGCTTCAGGACTTGAGTGGAAACTGTTGCCAATCTCACACCATATACATGACAGCTTTGTTGGTTTGGATGATAATTCACACTAAATTGAGAATTTATATTTTGGAGCTGAAGAGTGAAATAATTTTATCATGTTGATGTAGCTGAAAGGTTAATTTTATTTAGTGGACCAAATACTGCTAGTTTTACTTGTGAGAGCATTTGAAGTGAAATTGTTCATTTCTATTTGTCTTCATGTTGATATCAAAGAAAAGTCAGCATGAAATGTATATAATGGTTTGGTGCAAGGCTGAAGGATTGGAAAGTATCTTAAAAATCAGGTTATTTCCATGACTGCTCATATTCCTTTTTTCCTCATCATACCTGGTTGTTATATGCATCGGGTGCAAGCTTCTTGTAGGTAGGTGCCATCAGGGTTGATAGATTCTGCAAATGGGATTCTAGTTTTTCTTCCTGTTAGAGATGAAATAGGGTTCAATAACACTTCCATACTGTACATATGGAATCCAACAAGTTAGGGTCTTTACACAATTTGCTTTACACTGACAGTTGTGTAAAGGCATAAACCAGTATCACTGGTGTTTAGACAGTGACTGTTGTGAATCTCCTTTTAATGTCACTGTTCCAAGGCCTTTAAAGGAATGAAACAGTTATAGCAGTGTAGCGGAAGGCCTGAAATAGAACATCATATACTATACACTTAATTTGTTTTATATTAAGAAAAATCATATTCTTCAGCATGGATATATTTTAGATCTAAATATGATATCCTCATTATTTTCCTTTTTGGAGTTGTGAGAAAATAATATTCTTCAGGAAGCTTGAGAGAAATAACATCAGAATGGCCCAAGTAAATATGGCTAATTGGGTTTGCACATTGCAATGACAACACGTTGACATACTGAAATATTTTTACATGCAGAAATTTAAATATTGCAGCCTTCAAAAAGTTCCCAATCCTTAAGCAATGAATGGATGTGTCTAGTAATTGGTGATATGGAGGTGGGAATGACCACACTTCCTTTTTTCTATAAATTGTACACTATAAAAATAAAGCGTTTAAAAAAAAATAATCTAATAACATACTCCAGAGTTGTTCCCCATCATCTAAGGCTGAGAATCCCAAATTCAAAACCTCCCTTGTATATGAGGCCCTTATCTTTCATTTTGCATACAGGCCCTTATCATTCTGCATACAGAATGGTGGCATACTGGAGTGATGTATTTGTTTTTAGGAGTTTTTGTATTTAAAGAAGATGTGAAGAGCTGTGAAAAAACAGGTTTCAGGGAGGAATGCATTGGGTGAGTTGAAAGTTTGTGTTCCCTACTACGGGAAAATATCCTAGTTTGGTTTGACATTAAATTGTCAAAAAATATCTTGCTGTGACCTCGTGCCTGCTGCCAGAATGTGGATTTTTGTATGGCCTGTAAGTTAGCGTTTGTTAGTGTATCTTCTAGTTTTTATTGGTGAGGATTCTGTTTGTGCTGCATATAAATTGTGACTATGCTATGGAACCCAGCCCCTGGTCTGGATGCATGCTTTGGCTGCCCCCAACTTTGGGACCAGGACTAGAGGGTAAAGCCATCTTTCCTGCACAAATCTGGCTTCCATAGGAAGTAAATCCAAGAATGCAAGTTGGAAGAGTGCCCTGGTGTGCTCTGGCCAGGTATCCATCTTAGAAATGTAGATAGTTTAGGACTGCAGGTTGTGATAAGCAAAGCTTTTGTGCCACAGCATGTATGAAGGAGAGCTATTCTGTAGTTCTTGGTGCTGCAGAAGAGCACTGGTCAGGAAAACCTGTATGGTAGTTATGATATTCTGAACAGTGCACTCTTTTCAGCACAGGCTATAGGATGTGGAATTACCTGTCTCTGATGATGAGACAGTAATGCTTGGATTTGTGTAAGACATCAGAATACTGTGAAACTGCACCAACATGCCAGTACACAGGCAAGGGACTAAATCTGCACATCCTTGCCAGAAAGCAGACCAGGCCACTGGAGCTTCACGTGACTTGCTGGAGGTGTCCAGGACTCACTGCAGTCATAACTTCAAGGTATTTTGTGTCCAGGCTAAGGCTCATTTTCAATATTTGCCACTTTGTTGTAACACGGAGCCCAGTCTGGAAACATTCAGTGGGGCAGGACTGTATGTAGAATGAGTCTTCCTATTCTCTTCCTATTGTCATCTCAGAGTTTCATCATGTTTTTCTCCATTGAACCAGTCTGCTCTGGATCCCAGTTGCAGTGTTATGTGCCATTAGCTGGTAAACCTTCCATTGTGCCACTGGGGAATGCTCAAATGCAGGCCTAATGCAGGCAGAATTATTCAGGCCATGCCTTCTCCTCTAATTGTGAAAGCCTGAAAACATGGTTTCAAGTCTCAGGGCTTTTACCAGCTGTCAGAATTTGGACAGTCGATTCAGCTGGCTCAGTGACTGGAATCAATCGGTTTTGACTGGCAGTTATTTAATTACCCTACATGTACAGCACTCAGGGAGGCCTCGGGCCCTGCTCTCTTGTACTATATCTCTATTTACAGAGTGACAGAAAACATTTCTTTGCAAATGAAGCTCATTTCCGAAATGGACACCAACCTCTTTTGGGTCATCTCCCATCAGCTTAAACTTTCTTGGAATCTTGCTTCTGGCAAACTTACAACCATTGTAATACATGCTCCAGGAGCAACCAAAGGAAAATGAAGCACCACAAGTTTCAGGGTCCAGCCCTTGGCATGCACAATTCCGTCTAAAAGATAAGAGAGCACAGCTGTTAGCAGCAGGCAGGTCCTCCTGTGGTGCTCTGGCAGTGGCCATCAGCGTTCTGCCAGTGCTTCAGGGAATCAGCGGTGTGGATAATCTTCCACCAGTAAACAATGAAGAAATGCAAGAGGGAGACACACACATCATAACAGAAGAATTTATCAGAGTGAATAATTTCATGGTTATAGAGCAGGATCTTTGGGGGTTCTACACTTGTGTGAGAAACATGGCTTTGCACGGGTGAGGGTATGTTTGTGTGGTGCCTTGTTAGGTACTGATATTCATAGTGCCTCAGGGCTTGTGCTGACAGCCCTGCAGGAATGTTGGAGCACTCTGACAGGGGCTAAGCAATAATTCCTGAAATATGATTCTACCCATGAAGCCAAAGTAACATACAATGATAGCTGTGGTAATTTTGGTCTAAATGTTCTTGTCTCTCAGAAGGGAATGGGAAAGAGATACAGTGCAATTTCTTTAGACTGAGGCTAGTCTGTGTCAGATTTCACAAGTATGATTTAGTGCACCCAGCTTTTATTTCAATGTTGAGGTATGAGCTATCCTGGCCCCTGCTGAGATCTCTTCTTTTAAATATATTGAGATGCTTCCAACTATTTACAAGAGTGTTTACTTTGGGTTTCCTACAAAGTTCGTGGGTTTTCAAACCACAGGAAACAGCTAGGAAGGTTGTAGATGTTTCAGGGTAAACAGCATGTGTAGAGGTGCTGGGTCTGAAGATGGGGCTGCAGGTTTGGTGAGCACAGCCTTTGCTCCACTTACTCTTCGTTCAGGGCGCAGCGGCGGTTGGTGAGCGTGCCGTACTTCCTCAGGGTGTCGGTGAGTTCCGAGTAGAGCCTGTCGGCCAGGCTGGTTGGGATTCCCTCCCAGACCAGGATGAGAATCACGATGACAGCCGTCTCACATGTGTGTCCTGCTCGCTCGCGCACCAAGCAGAGCAGCTTCTCCTCCTGACTGCTTCTGCGGACTACCTGCATGTACAGCAGCACACACCCCAGAGCCCCAACACAAACGGTGCCGTTCTTAATGTGAAGAGCAAGAGAGTAGGAAACCTCAGCATTACTGTGTGTGTGGGGAGGTTACTTCTACTTGTATCCTCTTTTTTCTTGTACTTCTTCTTGTATCCTCTCTTCTGGCAATTCAGTCTGTTTTTCTCACTGTGATATGGCAAGGCTACCCATTGTGTTTAATGAAGCTAACTCTAAGAGGTTGACTGATGGCATGGAAAGCTGTGGTGGTGAAAACCAACTTTATAAAGGTAGCTTCCATGCTCTGATTCAGTAGGATTCCTCTCCTGAATCTGTGTTACGATTGTGGCCCAGACTGACTGATGAGTAAGAGGAAGTGAGCAGTGAGGCGTCTCCCTGCACTGAGCTGAGTAGTGGACACCTGTCTTCAGGCAGAAAGCATGCAGAGAAAGGCCGGCAGTAAGGAAGGGACTAAATAACTGGGAGCTCTCTCCCCTTCCCTTCCAAACTTAAGCAGCTATAGTCATAACCAGCCTCACAGTTTTGTGACCTCCTCTGGTTACATACAAACATTACAGTGCTGGGAGGAAAGCAGTAGATGTTTTTCCAATAAAACAGTATCCTTCCAGTAGTATAAGCACTGAGAAGCATTTCCTAAAAAAGGTGCTGTCTGGCATGCATAAAAACTATAATGTATTCGTTTTTCCTCATGCTGTCTTGCCCCAGCAATCCAAACCACTCAGTAATTTGTTCCAAAGTACAACAGTGTTTGCTAGGAGGGTGTCTTAGCACTTTTCTCAGACTGGGAGGATATTTTAAAGACATCACAGTGGTGCACTTACTGGACTTATTTGTAGGCTAAAATTAAACAGCAATGAAAATGTCAGGCAGTGCGAAACTTTAAGTAAACATGCCCTTCTTCTTAGGTTTTCATACTTTTGAATTAAATTTTATTCTTGCTATTCTCCATGCAACAAGTCAATGGAGTGAGAAAAGGGTGGGAGCAGGCTACAGGCACCCCTTATACTGCTGCTGTTGAGCTATTTGAAGTTTCCTAGTGTCAGTTAACAGCACATGTCACTGCTGTCAGCTACATGAACCATCATACCAAACTACATTAATCTGTTTACATCACTTACCCATTTAGCAATTGGACATCCTTGAGAACTTTTGCCTTCTTTCCCAGTGTAGACAACCCTCTCAATCCTTATAGCTTTACCCTTCTGTCCAAATCTTAAACAAAACAAAAATATGTACAGTAAGCAGATTCATGTGGTTATGTGTGAGCACTGAAAAGATGGAGTACATTTGCCAATCTTATCTTATAAAAATAAATTCATTACAGGGAAAGATGTGCAATGTCATTTGTCTTCATGATTTTATTACAGAGGTGGAATGATATATTAAGAGAGGCAAACATCTTTAATACATCCCAGATGGGTAAAAATTATCATTATCACAGTAATATTACCAAATATTTTAGCCATTTCTTTAGAGCATTTGTTATAGATGACATTTTGAAAGTGATTTTTTTTTAAGAAGTCTCTTTATTTTGGTGAAGAATTTTATATTTTCCTTTTAATTTCTGGGTTGAAGTTGTTTCTGTGAAATGTACATAATTAAGTTGTCATGGAACAGCTGGCATGTAACATTCACTTTATTAATTTTCTGTGCTTGTTTCTGACTTAGTGTGAATCAGTTAAGTCAGGATTAATTTGTTTCATATCTATTTTTTTACCTTTATAATCTGCTCATAAATTGTAACTTATTTACTTCTACTTGACTTCTATACTTCAGATAGGATCACAAGGTGCTGTCAGCACCATTTGTGTGCCTTTTGCAGCTAAGGTGGGCAAGCTCAGCCCTTGCTGAAGGATTTAAACAAGGGGATGATGGTCTCAAGGCAGGCTCTAGCTCGATATGCAAGCAGTGCTCTTACCAGAGCAAAGAGGATCCACTTTCCAGATGGAGATATGTGGCAAATGCCACATGAAGGATATCTTGACTCAATAAAAAGTGCTGGATGTGTTGAGCCATTTCTAGGCATTTCTCTGGGATTGCCCACCTGCTGAGCCCAGGAGCACACCAGGGCTGAGGGGAGGCCAGGGCAGAACCAACAGTGGCCACAGTGTTAGAGACTGAACCACCCTGGCCACTTGGCTGCTCCTTGGGCACTGGGCAAACTGCACTTCCATCACCATTTCTGGAATGCTGCCACTCTCACTTCTGTTAACTTTAATACCCAAGAGTGAGAACTAACTAAATCAGTCTCCTTATTCTTTGCCTTTATTGACAGAGTAATCAAGGTATATTCCTCTTATGCAGCCATTTAATGATGCCTTAAGGACTTTTGACCCTTTTTCCTCTTGTTTTTGCATTAAAATCTTGGTGATATATTTAAGGGCCAGTATCTGTATTTAAACTTTTGTCCTGTAAAGGAAATGAAAAATGCTTATTTTTAGATGTGATCTCATTGTGAAGTTTCAGTGTCACAGGAAATGATATAAACAAAATGAAGTTGTACTACACATATTCTGCAGGCAACTGTTAGGTCACTTTTTCCTGCTTAGGCTTGGATATTAGTATTTATTTGTTTCTTTAATTAACCACATTCAAAAAACATTTTTAGATCTTAATGTTTTCTATCAGTTTTCTAATCTGGATTGAAGGACAACTGTGTGGATGCCTCTATAGAAGTATGTTGTATACTACACACTGGAAATTAAATGGTCTTCATCCCAATTTTTTTCAATTCACAAGGGAATTAGTGCCTGATGTTTGTCATGCTTGCTTTCAGGCCAAAGCTGATTGGCTTTAAAACTAGAGCAAATCTCACTGAGCATGAAGTAGGAATTGGGAGAAAGAAGAGGTAAAATGTCTGTATCCACTGCGGATTCTGCAAGAAATTAGTTCTAATGTAGATAAAATATTAATTCTAAGTCTAAATCCAAGTCCTGGCTTCTTTAGCAGTGCTGATATCTTAACAGTCAATCCATATGCATTGGAAGCCAGGTTAAAAGTGCTTGAGTTGTGATTTATGTCACCAACTGCACATGTATGCTTGAGAGTATCTTTATAGCGAAGGGTTTGGTTCTTTTTTACTTAGGGATACAAAATTAACTAATGAGTTCTGGAGTTCAGAGAATTTCATAGTTCATACCATACAGTTGAACACTAGCCATTGTTCACGTGGCTCCTGCTATACTCTGCTGAACCTGGCAGATTAGTTAGTTGCACATTACCTATGATATCACATACTTTCCTTCTGCTAACATTAAAAGAAATTAAATTCAAAAAAGAAAAGAAAAAAGGTAAGGTCAATATTAAGAACGAAAAACTACTTTCCAATGTAAAAAAATAAAAAAAAAAAGAAAAAAATTTCATCTCTATAATTGACATTACAACATGAATAACTTTCCTCTTTTATTTATTATTTGTAAATACTAAATAGATGTATCAGTTGATGAACGCTCTGGAGAAAACATATGGTAAATAATTTCTTCAGAGAATCAGTGATCACTCTCCCTTCCCAGAAGGCAGCTGATTTGTGTAGTTTACATGTACTCAAGCTGCTCCCAAAGCTGAAAATTACTGGGGCAAGCCATGCACAAGTGTCACAGGGAAAGAGGTGCTAAGAAAGAGAAAGCACCTTAAGATTTCATCTGAAGGGTTTAATAGGCTACAAGTGCCCCATGGTTGTGCAGTGATGAGCCCAAGCTAACAGACCTTACTAAGAAATGGTGCTCCTCAGCTCAGACCCAGTACTGCAATAATGCCAACTTGCTTTTGGTTCTGCAACTAGCTAGAGCTTAACTGCTGTTCTGGAGTCCAGATTTTTAAGGTACGAACAAACCAAATTCCCATCTGTCCCTGACTTAACTGAAGAGTTTTTATTTTGTTTCTTTGTTCAGGGGGGAACTGAATTCTCACATACCTCTAATAATATGGTCATTATTGGCTACAAGTAATGCAGAATTCACAGTGCAGAAATCACTTTTGTGACAGCTTTTAATTTGTACATCTTAGGTAGGCTGGTGGGGTTTGTGCTTACACATATTTTTAAACAGCACATATCATATATCTTTTCTGTGCCTTTAAAAAATCCTGGTTTGGTTGGCTTTGATGTAATAAGTATACCACAGGATGCAACATGATGACAGGGATTGTCCATAATCAAGATAAGACTGGACTTGTGCAATACTCCAAGGCAGGGGAATGTTTTCTCACAACACTACTTATCGATTCTTGGGCTGAAATCCCACCCAGCAATTCTGTGGCACTCCTCTAGACATGAATGAATGAGATTCAGACATTTAGTAATTTTGTGAGGGGAAACTAATGTTGAAATTTGGTATTCTGCTCTTCCTCCTCTTCCTTCTCCGCTGGCATTCTCCTAGCCAGAGGGAACACCAGCTCCATGCCTGCCTTTGCAGCCACTGCCAGCAGCCTTGCTTGGCAGGCTGGTGAGAACTTGTTCTGGCTTGGGTTTGCTGGCATCTGTCTCCCAGGGCACAGCCCGTGCCAGCCAGCAGACTATTAGCCCTGTCAAATACTGTGACTCTCTGGTGAATAGCAGGGTGTGTAATGTTGGCAACACTGGAGTAGCTAAGCCTACAAGTAATTACTTGATTTGCAGTTGTTTATTTCTTTATGTGCAAAAGCTGGAAAAATTCTGACATCCACAAAAGGATAAAGTTAATCTGCTCTGTGCCTTTGCACTAATTACCTTTCTTCCATGATTTCTCTAATAGCTGCCACATTAGGACCGGCTCCTAGATGGGTATAGAAGGGACCTTCATCTTTTTCAATAATTTGCTCTGTTTAAAACAAAATAAAGGTTATTACTTTGAAGCTTAATTATTTCATGTAAAATGTCACATTGCAAAGCTTACCTCTAGCTTGTTAGAAGATGCTGTATGGGCCTGGGGTCAGTTTTCAAACACTTACATCTAAGGTATTTGCCCACACACTTTGTACTAAACATGCAAAGCAATGGCTAATCCTGCAAACAGCTGTGATAGGGACTGTGTGCCTTTCCCTAGAACAAACAATTATTCCACATCTCAGGCTCTACACTGACGTTCAAATTGGCATTTTCCTGTTATCAGCGAACAATTGTTTCTCCTTCTCCCACTTCCTCCTCTCCCAGTATGTAGAAAGGAGGATAAATGGGATAATAGCAGTAAATATTGATGTTAGGGAGCTATAGCATACTTGTTTTTACAGTGCAGGAACTTACAGCTTGAAAAACTGGCCACTAAGGTTACACAGAGAATTCCTGCCACTCACAGAAAGACTGTGAAAAGAAAAAAAAAAAAACCAAATTTGCTGAAAAAAAATCATGCCCAAGGCCTGGTAAAAACCCTTGTATGCCAAGAACGTGGCCTGAGTTTTCTGTGTGTAGGTAGGACCATATCAGCAGTCACAATACATGCTGTATGTTTGGTTTGACACCAGGAAGCAGGCTCCAGCTGTGTTAAAGAAATGGCCAAGCCCCGACTGGGTTCAGGAGATGGTGGAGCTGTGCTGGCTGATATCTGAATGCTGACTTGATGCTTTCTGCCATGCTAACTCCACAGGCTGGATGGGTGGTGCTGCTCTTGACAGCCAGCCTCTGGAAGCACAATGAATATGAATGTGTCAGTGGGGAATGGCTTAATTTAATCTTCTTAAGGACAATATTGGTAAGCAAGAGCCATAAACCTATAGATTATGCTCTGGTGCTGGGTTCTTCAGAGGGAGTTTCATACTCTTGTATTTCCTAGTGTCTGTTAGGACTGAAGATTTAAAATGTAAATGGAGAATAAGTTCTTAAGTTTGCTTAGTGGCTTCAGTAAGGAAAAAAAGTGAGGATAAGGAAGTAATTGCTAGAAAAACTTGTGCTAACTATATGGAAGAAACAATATTAAAAAAAACCCAACAAATGATAACTGTGTTTTCAAAAAAAAACAAAAACAACTACATTTGAAGGTTGTTTCTTATAAAACAAGGAGCAGCAAGGAATTGGCTTCCCCAGTTCTTCCTGGGAGCTCTAGAAATACACTACTTCCTGGTTTTGTTCCCACATATCATCTCTGAGACACAGCCCCAACATTCAAAAAGGCAAAAAGGTCCATTTTGCATTTTGGAAGAGCATTGATTCAACTGCCCTCTTTTATAGTTGATACAAAATCCTAGTAACTAAAACTTTAACAAGAATTTTTATTTTCTTCTTCTCATTTTTGGTGCTGGACCTTTTGTTTCAGCCTGAATAATTTATCCAGTAGAGTCTGAAAGTGCCTGTTACACTGCTATGTGCAGTGTCAGTACTGTATGAAAGCTTGGGCTAGGGGACCATGCCTGTCACTGCTCCCCTCTGCTCTATTTTTCCAGCTCTTGGAGACAGGGTTTGCCACCAAGCAGCAACAAGGATCCCCCCACTGCTTTTTTTAGTACTGCTTGTGTAGCTTCTTTTTTGAAACTGTGGATCTCTTTAGCCTTACAGAAGACAAATGCCTGAAAAGGAGGATAAACTCTTGAAACAAGTAAAGAATAACCTGACATCTGTTTTTGCTTAGTCTTTACTAAGGGAAACTTCAACAATTTCACTGTTAGAGCAAAAAATGGGCATAAGACTCTAAAGTTTTGGACCGGGATAGTTTTTTTAAAAGCTGTATCTAACCTTGACAAATAAATCAGGTCATAAAGCTATGACCTACTTTTTATCAGTATGTTGTTGTTACATGTCTGCTGCTCAAGGAGAATGGATCTGAAGCCATAAGCATTCTGACTGAAAAATCAAATAGGTAATTGCTTCATGGAATAATGAGAAAGGGGCCATGTGTAGGGTTGGTATGTGCAGTAGGCCTAAGTGTGTAAAACCCCAGTTTTATAAGTCTTCACTAATTACTGTTCTTAAAAAACCCCAAGAAAATCTTCCAACAAAAACATCCAACTAACCCTGTGATCCCAACCTGAAGGCTCATTTCCTTCCTGTGAACTATTATGTTTTTAATGCATCTCAGCACTTACCAACACAGCTGCAAGATGGGAAATCATACTGGGTTTTGGCAGGTGTGTCCAATAAATTCTTTACAGGCGTATCCAATAACTTGGAAGGTGAGTCTAAAAAATTATTGAGAACAGTTCCAGCTGTTCTTTTGGTCGGGGTTTTCTCAGAAGACAAGTTTGCTTGCTGATCTGAGATTGGGGTTTGAGTCTCAAAATCTGCAGCACTGGTATTTCGTGATAGGATGGTAATAGGGCCTGCTGTTTCAACCTTCACATGTTTGGGTGATTTGAGAGTAAAAGTCTTATGATCAAACAGTGATTTGACCTGTATCTGTTTTAGCTGCTGCTCCATTGTCTCAATGATGCTCTTTTGTTGCATGTTCTCGCAGCCAAAGTGCTGATTCTCTTGTTTAATTGTTTTTTTCCACATTTTGTTTTCCAGCTGTCCAGCCGATGGGCGCATGCAGGCATTAGACTTTGTGCCAGCCTCAGTTTTTATAGGCTTGCGTGCTGCACTGGGACCAATCTCAGTTTTGGGTTGCTGGTATGCTTGTTGCTCCTGTTTTTGCAAAAGATGCCACCGCAGAGCAGCATGCTTTTGAAAATCCTTAGGGGTCTGGGACTGCAAATGACAGCCTCTCTGGTCTTGGCTGTGGGGGGCAGTTTGGCTGTGTGGTAAGTACTGCTGAGGGATCTGTGGAGCTTGTTTGCTTGGGAGGTCTTGGTTCAGACTAGCACCATAGCCCTGTGAGGGCTGGAGGGGTGGCAACTGCAGAACTGAGGCTTGTTGTGTCTGTTGCTCTTGTTCTTGAAAACAATGATTCACATCTTGCTTTGCGGTCAAGTTATTTGAAAAATACTGCACATGCTGCAAATCCTGCATTTTGTTGGATCCAAAGCATTCCATATTTGCGGCGTTCCCTTTCTTCTCGGAAATCAGGTGTCTGTTGTTTGGGCAAGGGTGCTGGAGACTGGCATTTGCCTTCTGAGTGTAAAGGGGAGCTTTGTTGTTCATGGCCTGTACCTGCTCTAGGCCTAGCTGAGGGTTAGGCAGTGGGAATGCAGCTGATTTAGTATACTTAGTCGTAGTTTGGAAACATTCATCTACTTTAAGTTGATTGAAGGATGTCCTGTCTACAGGCTGCTCAGCATTGCTTTGGGGGTGGGATATGGCTTGGGACAGATCTTTAGTTTTCATTTGTGAAGCCGGCTGCTGGTTTGGGGTTAGCTGTGGACTGCATGGCAGTTGCACTGGATGTGCCTGGTTTTGCAGCATCTGTTGCAAGATGTGTGAATGCAAGAATTGCCCATTTTCCCCTGGCTGGGGATTCAAGTGCTGCTGTTTCAAGGGGGCCCCTGAAGGCTGTTCACCTTGTTGTTCTGATCTTGGCTGGAAGTGGAGCTGCTGTGGAGGGTGTTGCTGCACTTGGGACTTGAGAAGGGAATCCACCTTTGTGAGCTGTGGTGAGTGTTTCTGGAATGGCAGCTGCTGGTCAGCTGGAGGATGTGGCTGCAGCTGAGAGCTCTCGCTTTTGTACAGTGCAGGAAATTGTTCCTGTTGCATTATCTTCTGGCTCTGGGCCTGTCCTGAAGGCCCCTTTAAAGAATCAGGACTTCCAGCATACTGTTTTGTATAAACTGTTTGGGCTGTGCTTGCCTGGTACTGAAGAATTGACCGCAATAATGCTTCGCTGGGCTTCTGGGGAGGCTCTCCCTGGCGTAACTGGGTGGAAACCAGTTCTATCCAGGCTGGTTTTGAATAATGTTGAGCCTGTTGTACAGGCTCTTTCACTTGGTCCTTTTCTTTGTCAGGAGGAGTCTCAGGTTCTCTCTGTCCTGGGAAATGCTCATAGTGTTGTTGCAACTCACCCCCGCTTCCATGTGCGTGCAGGTTTTGGAGGGGAGATTCTGACGCCAGCATCACTCCTTCAGGGCGCTGCGGAATCGAGGCGGCCACAGCAGCTTGCAGGTTGCTTTCACTGACATCTTGTGATGTTTGTGCCTGTTGCAGAAGGCTCTGCTGAGGTTGAAGTTGTTGTTGGCTGAGGCTGGGACTTTCTGACATTGGTCCCTCCTGTTGCCCTTCATTTTTTATCTCCCCAGGAAGAGTTTCATCACACCTATTGTTATAGGAGTGGTGTCCTTCTCGCACCGCGGCAGACAGTGCACTGTTCATTTCTGGAGCAGGAGCAGTGGAGGAATCTTGGTGAAAAGTTGAGTTCTGTGTAAAGAAAGCACCATTATTTTCTGCTTGCTCAGAGTACCTTTCCAGAGCAGTGCTCTGAGCTTGCAGGATACTGCTGGAACTTAGAGAGAGGTCTTGGTTGGGAATCTGCCCTATGCTTCCATGAATATTACTGTTTCCTATAGGTAACTGCTGAGGATCATAGCCTGGAATCTGTTGCTGTAGCTGTAGATCTGGCTTCTGAAGTGAACAGCTACCTGGCAATACAGGTGGTTTACTGGAGTCTTTTGTGTTGTAGACCTCAGTAACCACTACAGCTGGCACTTGAGGCAGCTCAGAGTTTGAGGTCTGTGGGGAAGTGATCTGCCCTGAGGTATGGGATGAATGCGTTGTCTCGTAGGACAACTCATTAGTAGCCTGACTGGTAATGGCATTGATATGAGATGTGTTCTTCTGCATTGCTATGGAAACATGTTCTGGATAATATTGAGACAGTGTTTTCTCCAGGAGTTCACCATGCATGCTTTCCATGGAAGAGGCAGAAACTGTAGCACCATTAGGCATTGGCACTGCCTTGTTCTTAAGTAGTAAGACAATGTCCCTGTTATGGCAATGAATATTTTCCTGCTCCTGCTCATCCTGAATCAGAAGGTCATGAGGGTTTTCTGAACCAACACTATTGTATCTTGTAGACAGTATCAAATCTGAAGCTTCATTTTCTTGTCTTTTAAAACTCTCAGATTTCTTCTCACTGTAACAATTGGAGACACTTGGTTTTTCACTGTTATCCTCTGGCTCAGCTTTTTCTCCATTTACCTCTTTGTCTTGTTTCACTTTCTTGCTCTCATGAAGTCCATACAGAGAGGGCTCGCTAAAAGTGCGTTTGATCCCACCATTTTGCATATATTTGGAATATACTTTCTTTTCTTGTAAAGGGTCTGGGTTAACACAGTTGTTTGGACTTCCCTTCTGGTGGGGCACTCCAAAGTTGCTTTTATTGAATAGTGGCTTATGGTCTCCATTTACTTCCACTTCAGATCTCTCTGTTGCTGGACTCCCATTCTGTAGCTTCACTGCAGAAGGCTCTGCCTGGCAAATGTGAGAAGACTGTGGTATTAGAAATGGACTCAATCTATTGCCGTCAACATGGTTGGTTCTGTCCTGTTCCATCTGGCCTGCTCTGAGGCCATCCACAAGGCTACCCTCTGAACGTATCTGAAAGAGAAAAGAAATGGGAGAGAATTTAAGTCAGTTTTAGTTTCCATTGAAGGACAGCCAGTTACTGACAATTCCTGCAGCACTCAAACACCCCTTGCCCTGACAGCTACCACACAGCATGAGCCTGCAAGTGCACCCAAGGGGTGTTTCACTATCCTGGTGCATCTTGCACCTCCAGGTCTCCCTTTTTCTTAAAGGTTTGTTCTTCGAGATGAAAAGAGAGTGACAATACAGAGTGACTTCCTTACTCCCATTTAACACAATAAGATATTTTACCAGAAGAAATCTCTCATAGTGGAGCAAAAAGTATTCTCTGCTTTTGAATGATTTGCATAAACTCCTCTGTCATTACATTTTGCCCTTGGTAAGGCAGAAAGTCATGCTGAAACTGTGGTTCCCAGACTTGGTGCTAATCCTGTAATTTGATCAAGTGTGCCAAACCTCTTTTGTCTGACTTGAAGGAGTATTGCCACCAAGTTTCCAATTAGAGGGGAAAACATTTTTTTTCTGTCCTCAGCTGTCTAACAGGGTCTTTTAAAACTGGCATTCCTGAAGACCATGCAAGTGGCACAATACACAGGACAAAGCCATGGTTGACTGCTGTCTACAGGAAATCTTACAGTTCATCATCAGATCAGTAAAGTTGACAGAAATAGGGTGATTTTTGAAAGGTTTGATGGAAATGGTTTTTTTCAGGTATCAATATCCTTTCAGATTTACATATAGACACCAAGCATGGCTTAAACATGCTTTGGGGTTTGAATTGAGCTCTGCAGCTTTGGAGCTTGGATTTTTTTCTTCTTTGTTGGGATGGGAAATCCCATTTTCTCATATACTCTTTATTTACAAAGTGAAGATTTTAGCTGGATAAAAGTACTGACAATGTGCAGTGAGCAAATTCCGTACAATAACAAGCTAATCCTGTTCACATGCATCTTCCCAGAATTCACAGACCCAGTTAACACAGATAAAGCCCTTGTTTGACTCTGCTTATAATTTATTCTTTGTTGGTTTATGGTTCTCAACTCGTCACAAATGACAGAAGGCAGACTGACAGTGGGTCTTACAGATTTGCAGTTGCACAGAGAAAATTTGGATATATATGCACATCTGCTCTGAAGCTTTTATTTTTGGTTTTCATAAAGGAGAATCTGAAGGGTTCTCTATTACCAGGTCAGCTCTGCTCAGATTGCAGAGTCAGGAGAGGCATTACACGTGGCTGGTATTGTCACTACATAGGAAGAACTATTATACTGAAAAAATTCTCCCATCATGATTGCTCTGCTTATGTATTTATCCTACATTATTATTTTTATATTATTAAAATGTAATTTAAAATATTATTTCGATGTAATTTATCTAGTTTTCAGTGCCGTATTACCTTACTCAGTTTAATAATATGATCCTAAAATGCTTTTATAAATAATAGTAATCCATTAAATACATTGCATCCAGCAGAATTCTCTCTGCTTGCAGCTCTGAATTCAGTAGCAGGACAATTCAAATGCACATTTTGACCAGCAAGCATCTATATGATAACTTGTATTCATTTCCTCTGAATGCCATACTTGTTTTTAGATTTACTCTTGAAGTTTGATTTTTTTTCTTTCTTTACTCAATTTATGTTTTTTTATGACAGAAGTAGATAAGTTCTTGCTGCAGGTAATGATACTTTAAAAAAGAATTTTTGCAGGGAAAACTAAGAACAGAAAGATGGAAAAAAATGTTTGTCAGTCTTGCCTGGGTTTTTTTAACATGGTAGTGTAGGCTTATTCCCTTCTAGAGGTATTTCCCACCCTAGCTTTATAGTACCACAAGACATGAGCCTTTGCAGCTTTCCCAGAGAGACGATGTTCTACGCTTAGCAGAAATCTGTGTGGAAAAGATTCCTCTGATGTGTCATTCTAGGCCAGGCAGCAGAAAGATGCTCCCAGAGTGTCTCAAAAATAAAATGCCAGACTAATTTGGAAGCCATTCTTTGCCTCCACAAGTTTCATTCCTAAAAACTGCAGGTGAATCACAGACATGAGTGTATAGGCTGCTGATTTTCATAAGTATGAAATGAAATTAAATAAAGGGCACCATAGTGATTAACACTGTGCTGTCAAGCTGCTTCTAAAAGATTTATTTATTTTTAAAAAAGTTTTAGTCTGTGCAACTAAGCTGTGAGAAACTTTGTCTGGCCCTCAAAATCTGCCTTGCAGCTTTTTTTCTGGTGTACTTTGTGGGTTACAACCAAATTCCTTCTGGGATTTCCCAGGCAATCTTTCTTCTCAACTCCTTACTATCTGTCAGATAAACCCACCATTTTCTTTAGAAGTGAGGCCTCCCTGATTTCTTTAAACTTAGCTTGCAAGCCCCTCAAATGAGCACATCTGTGGTCAGAAAAGAGTCTTAAGTTCATGCTGTTCTCCAAACTCATGAGGTTCTCTTGTGAGATGAATTATTGTTCATGCATTCTCAAAGATCTTATAGTATGTTGTCCCAAATTCAGACCACTTTCAGTGTAAAAGACACTGGTGTTAGACATTGCAAAGAACATGGGAATCATTTGGTTCTTCAAAATACAAAGTTAATTCATGCATTAAAAGTGCCAGATTTGCATTCTTTGAAATGCATCTAGGATGGGGGTAACTTTGCATTATACTTATTTCTCTCACTGTCTACACTCAAGTTATTCACTATCCTCAAGTCACAACTGAGTAAAAATCTTCCTCAAGCAACTACAAATCACAGCAAATCTAAAGTAACATGATTTGTAATGTAGAACTGGCAAAAAATAAATGGCCACAATATCTTTATTATTGTTTTTACCTGGAGCACCATGAAATAGTACTCCTACTTGTTTGCATCTTAAAAAGTCTTTGTGGTTGTCCTTACAGAGGTGAACACTCTACCTCTAAAAGTAAATCTACCTTCCCACAAGCGCAGCATTTAGACTTTTTTGTCTTTCCCATAACTGTATTTTATCCAGACCATTTAGAAGCTCCACATATTTTTCTTCAGCTATAATTCATTAGAAATTCAAGTCACATCATCAGCATCTGTGAAACAATTACTGCATCTAGGACTGACTCTGCAGTCTAATCCATCATAATGACTGGACTCTTTGAAGATGCCACGATGCATGACTTAAATATAGCACATTACTGTGCAAATGGATCAGCATCTCATCCCACCAATATGCATTCAAGTTATAATTCAGATTACCACTGTTTGACTTTTTCAGATGCAATCGATGTAAGTACATTTATTTCTTGCTGCACACAGGGCACAAACTGGAAACCAGGCACTGAATGAGAGCCTGAGATTTTCTTGTTTGTTTTATGGACAAGTTTGGCATATTCCTGCCACCTCTTATCAATATACTGTGAAAGGTATTGTTACAAGGAGAAGAGACATTTCTGCACCAACAGAAGCTGTGTCATTTTCTTTCACAGAAAATCTTTCTTTAGTTTTAGCCAGGTCTGAAGGTTCATAGCTTATTTTCTATAGCACCTGTATCTGGAGAGTTTGTGAATGCAAAGCAGCTCAGATGAATGAATGAATAAATACACCCACTGCAGGGGAGTACAGCCTTCTGCAAAACTGGGCAAGATTCCCAGAAGAAAATGTAGGTGGGGGAATAGCTGTGGTAGAGCACTCGCGGACCTAAAAGGACCAAAAGGTGCGAGGTCAGATGGGTTGTTTCCCCTTCTGGCATTAGCTGAGATAGACGTTTATCTCCTCAGAAGATTTTTTCCCCAGGAGAAATACACATCCTCAGATCATAGCCTCAGCTGACTTGTGCTCAACTGATTATTGCTATGAGACTCAGGAAAGCAGAAGTCAGATACCCAGAAGCTTGTTGATGGCTCACTGGGTTGTTCCAGGGGTGTTGCCACAGCCTCCATCCTGCTGGCACCCTTCTGCCACTGCCAGATGACACAGAGGTTTAAATTGCTCCCAGACAAGAAACCCCTCTAGCACTTTCTTGACAGGAGGTGAATTTGCCCGTATGCCTTGCCAAACTCCAGTTTGGTAAGTTGTACTTTCTGCTTACACTCTCCTGCTCCTGTTGTCTGTGTACGGTAGCTGGCTTCACTTTTGGCTACCTATCCTTATGTGCTGTTGTTCAGCTGCATCTCTCCTCTGAAGCTCATGCATCTGGCAGAATTCCAAATACTGAACTTCCAACACGTGAAAAAGCTCTTGAAGTTAGGGGTTTGGGTTTTTTCCTATTTCACTAAAAAACAAAAATATGAGAAGAGGCACGAGTGGTTATTACTTAGGTAAGGGCACTGATGCATAACATTGTCAGAAAGTTCAATTTCTGTTCTAAAACCTGAAATCTTCTGGACTTGCTTACAAACAAAATTGTTTCTGATTAACCCTTTGACAAAGCTTTCACTTTTTTAATATTGGAACAAGGTGTGTAGGCAGTTATAGTGACGCTTAACACCAGGATTTGATATTATGGGATGTGTTTCCCTGGCATAGCTAAAGACCAATTTGCAGCTGTGCCTTTGGTTAACAAACCTGTAAGCAACTGCCAGTGTCCCTAGAGGAGAAAAGACGTGCAGTGAACTCAGATGGCTAAGGAGTGATAGCTAACACATCAAAACTCCTTATTGGTGAGACATTTCCATTATTGCTGGGATAAAAAGTTGAACACGTGTGGTATAGTTTAAGGATTTCTTACATGTTTTGCACTTAAGGTACTGTCGTTTATACAGAGAGAAACAATGTGAACTTCCATATGGAAACTTAGAGGAGAGGCAAGACAGGACAGATTCAAGAGAGATTGCATTCATACCCAAGGTGAACTGAAGCTCAAAACACAACATCCCCTAAGGATTTGCTCTGCTCCTTACCAGCAGCACTGCTGTGCTGCCCCACTGCACATGTGATGGCTGAGCAAAACACAGTGAAACTTCAAGGCAGATGTAAAGGAGGGCCCAGAAGGACAAGGACACTCTGTTGTTAGCTGAGATCTGTGGCTTACAATAGGGTCTTTT